AAGATAAGGATGACAGATTTTAGATATAAAGAAGAAGGAGCAGACCACATCAGAGCACCCGTCAATCACCGACTTAGTATGAGTTTTCCAAAACGTTCAACTACAAAAATCACATACGTTTTGAAGACTAGAGGTGTTACTAGAGACAGTAACATACAAAAAAAAAAAGAAGGTAATATTAGAAGGATGATAGCTGCTTGACAGAGAAAAAAGTGTTTGATGGGAAAGAAAGAGCACACCACACCAAGGCAGCCGTCAGCCACCAAAGTAACAGAATGATTTTAAACCACAAATACACATTTCACCATTTCAACATCAAGCTTCTGATTCCCAGACAAAATACTACCCAAAGACTTTGACTTAGTAGCACACTGACACAAGAACTGTCATTTAGGGCTGGGAAAAGAAAGACAGACAAAGAGATAGACAGTAAAGAAGTGGGACCTGTGAAAGGCACCCAAGCAGAGAGGGACTAAAGGACAATGCAGATGCATAGTTTTTTAGTTGTTGCAAATGTTCACTCCCCATTTATATAATTAAACAGATTTAGGAAGCAGGCTGCTTCGATTCTGCAAGTCAGGGACAACTAAATAATACCCAGAGGGGTACCATTTCAAACTTCAGGCATTTGGCTGCAAGTCAGGAAACCACACTGACAGAGAATGTAAAGGAAAGAGAATACAAATTCAGCGCCCATGAATATTCAGTCCAATTAACTCAAGTAAACTGCATTGTTCGTGCCAGACAGAAGAAACTAATTATGCAGTACAGGACATGTTCATGAAACCTACAGAAAGACAAGCACATCATCAACAAGCTGTGCTACTGTTTAAAGTTTAAACCCAGAATGAAAAACTTTTTAGAAGAGAGAAAAAAAACAAGTGTAATTATTTTAAAAATTGTACCATCGTTATGCATCTTTTCTAGCTTACATTCATCATTCAGATTTTGAACAGCAGTCTTTTTAAAATCAAAATTTTGAGCGTATTACATAATATCTGAACAGTTGGGTAACGGAGTAGTACATTTTCCCCACAAGAGAATCCAACTCTGTGTTATGGGCAAAGAGTCATTACGCACAAGAAGCCCAGTACCCTATATATGACACTTTCCCAATTTTACCAAAAACGTAGTGAAATGGTATAGATCGAACTCCCCTCTCTCTCCCTTCTGACACAGTGGCGTCATACGCAGTCAGCGACAACAGCATGCAGGAATTCCATACTCACTCGGGGGTCCTTGAAAAGTGCTGAACCTCGAGCGAGTATTGAGTTCCTGCGTTCAACTCCCCTATCAACACTGTTAGGTCATTTAAGTGGCAGGACCTCCCAGTTTTCCAAAGGACGGAGCCAAATAGGAAATTTGTGTAAAGCGCCTTTCCCAAGGACATAACATCGGACAGACCTGTTGCTCAAACCCCTGAACTTGCAATCTCACAATTGGGACCGAAAGTCTGGCCACTACGCCACCCAATTTTAAATTCCATGCGGGCCAGTGAATCAAGCTCATAGGCCATTGGCCAGCACATCAGACCATTCGTTTGGTATCCATGCTCACAACATTTAAATCTACCAGGCGTTTTCAATTCCAGCATCGAAGGGTATTACATTACAAACATGAAGAAGACTAACAATTTTTAATTAAAGAATTATGTAGGCTACAACTAAAGCAAAAAGCAGGAAACTATAAAATTTAGAACATAACATCCAAAATAAGCTATTCCCTTTCTCACAGTTCAAGCAATTACCAAAGAGCCTGTTTACTCACTCACATTTCATAAGCTAAATGCTCTCGTGCCATACAAAAGATAAACTAAACAGGAGTTATAAAAAGAACATAAAAGCAAAAAAAAAAGAAGTATTTTATTCCAAAAACAGAACTTGACCTCGCTCAGAATCCCCCCTAAAAAATAACCCAGGAGAACATTTTAATAAACTTCGATTAGAGAGCAATTCGCCCTTAAAATTTTTTTTTTTAAATCTTACGGTTGAAAATATATCAGACTGCCAAGGTAACAATCAACATGGAATTGTTTTGGATGCAATGCACACATGTATTCCAAGTACACGCTTCCCTCATTGGGTTTGTAATAACTTATTACTTATCATTTACTAATTTATTACCAATCATTTAGCCTACTTAGAGGTGGAAACAGATCCCAAAAATATGTTTATAAAAAAAGGTATTCAGACAGATGTTACTGTTATTTCAACAACATTATGTTCAATCTGCATGTGTAGCAAAATGCAAAACTTCTACGAAACAGGTCTGGCAATTATCATATAAAAGAAGATGAGGAAGAGAGAAGAAGAAAATAAACCCAACTTCCAAGTCAGGCGCAATAAAAGTATGGCACAATTATCACACATCATACGCAACTTAGGGAAAAAAACATCCATCAACACAATATACAGGGTGTCCAGCAATATTTCCTGAAAAAATTTACTACCAGGAAAAAAACCTGCATGTCACAAATGTTGCGTTACCAGTCTATCGCTGGCGAATTTCTGGGTGGTAACGAAAGCGAAAGTAGATCTTGATTTTCTCAATCAAGCCTCGGTGTCACATACACGTTCGCCAGCTGCCATAGCCGTCTGTTCGTGTGAAAGTGAAACATACTCTCGGATGGGGAAAAGCTGAACAAATATAATACAGTACTACATGTACACAGCTATCGCGAGACTTTTGGTTCCAGAAGAAAAATCCTGCTGTAGGCGAGTTCCTGCTATAGGAATGCAAAGGGGAATTACCGAAAATTTTCAAAGTATCCACATGATTTCCGTCCCTTCCATATCAAATATAATTTGCGCTTCGGATTAGTCTTCCTGTTTTTGTCAAATTCATCGATTATCTCGGCCTTTAATTAGAGTGAGAAGCATTTCCCTAGTCTTTGTTGGAAGCCATCTTTTCCTCGGTTTGTCACTTGCACCATCTATTGTACTGGTAGGCCTACAGTAGAACTTGTGAAGTGGAAGCATGCGTATGCCTGAGCATCAATGATCGCAGTTCAATGAATCAGGAATCACACACGACATGCTCTCCTTTTCTTTTACTTTTTGACCTAGCCTCAGCCTACGGCTATGGCCTATACGCACTTATACTCTAGGTTATGGCACCTCATTTTAAATTTTGGAGTGGCTCACATAATGCGTCTCTCCACACCATCTCTCTCTGCCTCCTGCCCCACCTAACTCATCACTGGACAGGCCAATCATAACGCCGCACCGCTGACTGCCCGTTGGAATCCCGCCAACAGCCCCCCAACCCCCTTCCCCGCAGCCAGATCACTCAATCTCTGCTGCTGTATCCAAATCCAAGTTCAGGCCTTTCCTTATCCCGTTAAACCTGAGCACAGGTAATTGAGTTTGAATAGAAAAAAAGGGGGATTCCAGTAAGGTCACGCTGTAGGGATGGTCTGGCTGCAGTGGGTGCCGCTATAGCCATGATCTACTGCATATATCTATATCCCTTTTGGAGCGGTTCACGTAACGCGTCTCTCTGAACCATCTCTCTCTGCCACCTGCCCCACCTTACTCATCACTGAACTAGCCAATTACAACGCAGCACTGCTGACTGCCCGCTGGGAGCCCGCCAACAGCCCCATCCCCCAGCTAGAGCTCGCTCGATCTCTCCCGCTGTATCCGAGTTCGGGACTTTCCTTGCCCCGCAGTATCCAAGCATAAGTAATTGAGTTTACATAAGGAAAAAAAGTGGATTCCGGTAAGGTCCCGCTATGGTCATGTTCTACTGTATCACAATCACGACCAGCAGAAATGAACTTACTGACATTATCTGACTTGGTCTTCATATATTCCAGTTCCGCGATACAGATACTATTTTGACAAAAGATGGGACTTGGTAATCTCCGAGTATCGCGGCCATGACTCCATTCACTGAAAAGTCTTGCCGGCTTCATCACTCTGCACACAGGTTAATTTACGACTGTTTATCAAACTACCTTCACAGCACATTTACTACCATTTACGACCTTAAGTTGCCTTAACAACCAGGGCGCCAATTTTAAGATTTTTTACAACTTTACGACCTTGCTGGACACCCTGAGTATATCATTTACAGAAGTAACCATTTTTTAAAAATACATTAGACAAAAAAAAAACAATTAAAAAAATTGACCTAGCACAATTCAAACTCTTCGCACAACTGTCAAGAGCGAAAAATGAAAACTGTAATTCAGTCTACCTGAGTTTGAACTTGTGTTCATCAAAAGCGTAACACAATGACAGCGTAGTAGCATTGAGAAATGGCAAAATGTTCAACAACAAAAAATGCAAAAGACAATGTCCAGCAGTCAGTCTCAGTCATGAAATTCACAACACTTTTACATCAAATGGACCAGTAGATCTACCCAGAAACAACCAGAAACAAGAACTACAATGCCAGACTTCGCGTTCCATCCTTTTAAAAGTCTAAAGGAGGTATAGTAAGCAAAATAAAATAAACCCTTTGATAGTATTTTCCTGGAACTGGCTACTTTGGAATGATATGGACAACTTCTCATATAGAGCATTGCTATCTTTATTTATAAATATATATATATATAATATATATATAAAATAATCTTGAAACATTTTTGTTTATTTCCATCATCTACATTATTTCCAATATTCAGAAGAATTTCCCAGATAAACATGGAAGCTTATATTCACACATAAAAAAGCCTTTTCCCAAACAATGAATCCTTTTTTGTTTGTTTTTTAATCACAAAGACTCTGTTTGCCAAAAAGCACAGGGTAGTAACTTAAGACCATTTGAAATAAAAAATTTTAACGGAACATTTAAATGGAAAATGAAAACAAGTTGAGAAGGTTTATTTGAGGGGGGGGGGGGGGGGGGGGGGGGGGGAGTGAGAGAGGTAAAAAAGACAACAAAACAATTGGAGTCAAAGTCACTGAAAGTCATTCACTTTAACTTTTAACAAACATATTTCACTTCAATATGACATAATTGACATAATATTCAGTAAAAAAAACCATCCAATATTTTTTTTTTAAATTATCAAGACCTACAAAATAATAGACCTGGTTGTTTAAAAACTTTGAAGGTCTTCTTCCACAAAAGCCTCTAGACTTGATGGCCATTAAGTAGCCCAAATAAAAATGGATGGTTAACCTCCTTCCAAACAACATTATTCATTATGTGAAGTGAAAACTTCTTAAAACTTTTTATGTCCTTTTTCTCATAAACAAGTAATACTTCAGCGAAGCAAAAACTAATTCCTTTGACCCAATTGCAGCATAAAACAAGTGCAGGAATGCTCTTTCAAAAAATTCAAAGAGAAAATTACTTACTTTATCTTTCACTAATTAAACTAGGAATGAAAAAAGATTCAACTAGCAGAAATACTGATTTTTTTTCCGCCTGTCCATCATTTACTTTGGTCCATAAGTTCAGAAACCCTCGCTAGCAAACCTAACATGATGTCGTGAGTGTTCAAAGCTTTGCCAATCAACTGCAGCTTCTCCTTCTTTTCCATGGCTGGCACGTTCATCCCCCCAACAGACACCGACACTTCCGGGCCCTCCTTCGCTCCCTCAGGCTTCGCTCGCCCCTGGCTGACATTATCCTGCTCCAGCTTGTAATGGGCTCGACTGAGATCAAGACCACGACGCAGGGGCTCTATAAACTGCTTCTCAATAACTGACATGTAGTCCCAGAATTTAGTCAGATTGGCAGACGCTGGATCGGCAAGCACCAGGAAACGCAGAAGGTTCAGGCCAGAAATGATCTGATCCGAATTCTCTAGCATATCCGAAGTCTCGCTCTCCGGTAGAGAAAGAGCCAGGAGCAGCAGTTTCCGGAGGCGTTTTCCCTCATAGAATTGCTGCATCTCCCTAGCCGAATCACCCACAGCATCTATAGGTTCATCTATCGAAGACGACTCTCTTTGCTTGAGAAATCTAAGATGCTCGGCAATATCATTTTTCATGAGAGTGATGAGGAAACCTTTGATCCCTGAGTGAGAGCAGGAGGACAAAATGCTCACATAGATCTTGTAACGGCCAGCGGCATCAAACTTGCTGATGAGCAGAGGGAAGAGTTTGGTGGCCAGCACTCTGTGGTCTTTCACGGGACATTTAATCATGACAATGATAAGGTCATTTATGACAGAGAGGTAACCAGGGTTGTCTAAAGAATCACTTACGATGGAACTTTTGGAAATCAACTTGACAAGTGAGTCAGTCAGTAGAAGGCCTTTCATATTGACAGGATACGTGGTATTCTCCAACAGCAAGGTTAGGTAGCTCAAGTGAAACTCTAACAGATGCTGGTGGCTGAAAACAGCTGGAAACTTGTCAATGCCGAGATGTTCAGAATGAATAAGATAAGCAATGCACGCTTGAGCGGTATGGGTAACTGAAAGCTTAAAATCCCAGTTCTCTACAATATCCTTTGTGCTTTTTGAGGTGTTGTTCTCTAAACTCTTGGCCCTTCGCTCATTTTCTTCATTATCATGTTCTTCCTCAACAAAAGAATCTGTATCTTTCGATAACAGATCTTTCAAACCATCTCTGCAGCTATTTTCAAAAGAATCAAGCCCTACATTCCGAAGAAAGCGATAGAAATCAGTCTCTAAATGCGCAAAGAGAGACATAGCCTGCTCGACACAAAGTCTGCTGTCCGACTTGACACGACTTGATTCTTGATCATGGGTCAACACAAGATAGTACAACGGATGATCAAAGACATGGGCGAGGTGCCTCTTTAAAACTGCAGCTTGCTGCATGAGAGGCTCTGAGCTTCTGTCACGCGTCAGGTCAATCCCTTTCACAAACGGTTCTAAAAAGTCTAAATATGCTTGAAGAATATCCACGAGTCGAACCACAGTTTTGTCCATGTGGAAAACCTTGACCTCATCCCCTTCCAGCTGCACATTCTCAGGGGGAGGCAGGCGTGTCAGGTGCGCTGAAACTGTCTCCAAAGCAATGTCCAGCGAATGGAAAAGTTTGCTCGGAATTTTCAATAGCGACATCTGAATAAGGGGAAGAAAACTTTTAAACGCAATATCATCGATAAAAGAGTCCATCTGCTCCAAAATTGCCAAAAGAGTTTCTTTGGGATTCCCAACTTTGACTAAATAGACCAAACAGCGGTTGCAGACGTCAAAGAAGGCCGGATTGTTTTCACTATTCACGGCATGAACACAATTTCCAATCTTGAGAATCAGCTCCCAGAAAACACTCTGATCTTTAAATTTGTGCTCGAGAATATAAGTCTTCAACCCATGAGCATCTTTAGCCTGTAAACATTCTACTACCTGGGCTAGCAGTTCCTCGGGGTCCGAGATCCTTTCCAGGAGAGGAAGCTCGACAGCGCCACTGTCTGGAGCCCACATTTTGATGACAAATACCTGAGATTCCTAAAGTTATGGTGCCTTCACATAAGACCAGACTTCTGCTCTGTAAATCAGGCAGGTGCCACTAAAAATCTGGAAATGAAAACAAAAGGAAAGATTACATATGATTGCTGCTCGTTCAAATTGCTGAGAAATGTATATTCAAAGGGTTATTATTATGCACTATAGGCCATCCATTTTAAAAAAGTTACCTGGTTTTTCAGAACTTTTGATTCCCTCTGAAGGAAAAGTTAAGGTGCGTACAGCATCATCATCCACTTTCTAACACTAACAGTCCATTGAACCAAAAGCTGTGTCATTTTCTTGCTTATGATGCTGTGACCATTTGATTTTCATTCACAACAAAATGTATTGGGGTTTTGTGGGGTTTTTTTTAACTTATCCTTATTTCAAGCCTAACTCATGAAAATGGATGCTGTAATTTAGCTAAAATTTTAAAAAAATCGACAAATACAGAGAGAAAACTTTGCTATTTGTGGTGGAATGCCAACCATTTCTTTGTAACTTATTAAAAAAATCAATTCACATCCATTGTCAAACTTTTAACCAAATGGTCTTTTGTATCGAAAGTTATTCCCCAAAAGACAATTTATTACTAATATCAAAGACCTGCAATACAGAAAGGCTGGCAATGAGAAGAGCATCCATTTCACAAAGTTAGCTATGCTAAAATAGACTTGCAAAATGGAGTATCCAATGCCATATACCCCAACGACACCAAGCTAAACACACTGAATTTAATTTAAAAGCCTACAGCGTCAGAAGTAAAGAAATGGAAAGAACCCACTTCCTTAAAGAATCTGGAAGAATCTCTAAATGTTAAACAAGATTAAAAAAACATTTGCCAAAAGTCAAGGACAGCAAATTTGTTTCTTCAAAAACTGTGCAAGCAATCATGAATAATCAATCCTTACACACTGCATACAAAATACAGAAATTGCACCAGAAGCATCTAAAATGCCATTTAAAATGTACAAATGCATTCCATGAATAGCTACACAACATTATTGTTTATACATATTTTTTAAAAAACATATGGTTGGAAGCAATAAAAGACGCACTTCAGTCACAAAATGAATAAAGAACAAAGGTACAAGAAAGAAGCGCCTCCATGTGGAGCGCTCTGACCGCCCCACCCATAACATAATACAAGTTTATCAATATTGAAAATATTTCACAGTCACAGGTTGTATACTAGCCAAACTTTTCTTAAAAATTAAGTTGCATAATATGGTACACTGAACATAAAAGATTTGGGGGAAAAAAATTACAGAGCTTTACACTTCACTTCTCACTCTTAAATCTCGCTAATGTGCACCCAAGTCATATGAATGGCCAAGAAGAAGTGCAGTCTTCTTAATGGATGGCAACAAGATTCAATTGATTCACATAGAAAAAGGAACAACATTTTTAAAAAGCATCATCTTTATTCAGATATCTTTAAGTTGAGGGACAGGACACCTAATTGGCTATTGCATTTCTAAAGTAATACACAATGCCTTTATAAAAGGAGCCCCGAAGGCTCCAGTAGATAACACTCTCGTGTAAAAAACCAACAAAAATACAAACAAAATGATGAACCTTTGAATGACATTTACACGTTTTATTTGAATGTACTCGGATAAAAAGAACCAAAATGGAAAGAGAAAATATAGTCAGTATTTGTGTTGTGCACAAAGTGGAAACAACGACTGTTTTCTAGTTTTAGAAAATGAAAATCACAAATATTTCCAAAAAAGAGAAAACTTAGAAAAAAATTATCTACCAGTATATCTAAAAAACAAACAAGGTCGTAACCTCAAACAACAAATTTCAGCACATCTGAATGTCATCTGCCAGATAGAGCTCAGGTGCAGAATTAGACTGGAAAACTTGTAAGTCCTGAAAAATAGGAAGCAAGATCAGATACATGTAGGGCTATTGATGCAAATTTCAAAGGGGAATTCTAGGGCTGACCCTCTCCTTTCAAACCGCGCTTTAAAAAATAAAAAATAAAAAAATTTGAGCAGGACTTCTGCAGTAAGCCTACACTATGGCTAATCCCATTTGCATCTGATCTGGGCCTGACAGAAAAATTAGCTTGGCTTCCTTCCATTGTGAGGCGAGCTTCGCATTTGAGACTTGCAAAATATTTGGCACTGCATACTATACATACACCTAGCTCACGTGACAGTAACCCAAGCTAGACGAGGTAACAAATTGAAGCATTCAGTGATTCATAGTTTGTACAAGAAATAAACACAATGTAAAAGACAAAAATAATTTTTGAAACTGAAGTTCGACTGCGAAACAGACCTTGCGATAGGAAAGCGACTGATTTAGGAATAATGGCCCATGGGGTACCATTCCAGCATGTTGCTTGTGTATCATTTCACATGATATATAGATGTCCTTTAAAATAATTACAAGAGATAATCACAGAATGCCAATCTGTTCTCATCCAGATTTATTTGCCAATGCCGAATGACCAACTTCTGAATGGAAGGCTGGAAAGTGGTTCGATACTGAAACCCCATCATTCATTAAGTATAAAGTGGACCTTCAAAACATATCATGCAAGAAAGAGGGGAACTCAAAATCCCTGAAATTTGGCAACAGGAAATAGAGGCAAGTGGTTAACATTGTACTTTTGGCCATCTTGATGAAAATAAAGCAGGGTGGCTAAACATGGTTTCACAACAACATATTGATCTATATAAAATAAAAACTTACCTAACTTCAAATGGACCTCAGAACAGTCAAAAACTAACAAACAGTCGTACTCAAAATAGCGAAAAAAAATTGTAGAGACTGCTTCCCTTGCCAAAAATAATTAAACCGGACACGGCACTGGAGCTTGTAACGGGAAACAGGGTAAATCACACTATAAATTAAAACAAAAATACCATCTTCTGGTGAAGCGAAAGCCGACATTGCAGACAGCGTGAAACTTCGCAATCAATCAAGCTTTCCCGAATTCAGCATAATGAGACTACTTAAAAAACTCAAAATATAAGCGGGTTCAGAAAGGCAAATCCACATGCGACTAAACGTAGAACGACGCAAACTATTTTTAGATAAGGCAGCCATCTCGTGTGACGTCAGACCGGGATACCCATCCGATCATGGGACTACATGATCTAAACATAACCAACCGTATGGCACCACAAGATCGTGCATACCTACATTGGCACGGTGCAATGTTTTTCCAGGAGACGTACCAGTTATGTGATGAGATGCAGTGCTCTGATGATGCTGCTGATTATCTCTTCTGCGCATTGTTTATCAGGCCTGGGAGGGGGGATCTCCGGGTGTATTTACAGCAATTTTAGCGCGCTTTATTGTCGTTGCGTTTACTTACCGTGTTTTAATTTCAAGCATCAGTGTTTTTACTGAGCATTAAAGATCTAAGTGATCTTCTATCACCAGAGCATGGCTGGCGTGCTGCAGTTAGCCGCAAGTGTGAAATTTTACCGTGATAACCACATCGATACGGATAACAGGTCAAGCCACTGACCCAACATGTCGTTCCATGCGGTGTCTCCAAAGATCATGTAGTGTGTAGTGTAGTAGAGAATCTTTGGTAACTCCACAGCCTTATAAAAATAGTTTGTGGGTATCCCAAGAAATGACGACATCACAACTAAAATTAGCAGCCAATCAGGAAGATGCGTCATTCTACCTTTAGTCGCATGTGGCATATCCCCTTCATTGCAAACATTCCTGCAATTAAATCTGGATCTAGATATCTAGATCTAGATCTAAGGCTTAGGTCTAATTGATTTTGTAACTGAGCTGAGGTTTTCTTGAAAATTATCAATTTGAAACAGGTTTTTTTTTTAGTCATTTATCTAGATCTAGATTCTAGGATCTATCTTCAGCAGAAGTGGCTATCCTCAACCCGGGTGAGAATAAAAAAACAATCGACCTCTCACCCCGGGTAAGACTTGCCAGCGTTGGCTACTTTCACACAGTGCGAAACAAGACCTGTTTTTCCTAATTTCAGAATGCTGTCTATCGGTGTGGATGATCAGATAGACAAAATCAAAGAAAAAAATGACGTTATAGCAGATTATTATAGCACAAAAGTAGGAAGGACTTCCGTAACGAGCGACCACTCCAACCTACGCAATAAAGAAGGGACTTTTGAGTGGGATATGTAAAAGATAGGATTTAGTATTTGGCTGGGCAATAAAGCAAGTAAAGAAAGTAAAACTGTTTTCGTGTTTCCTCGTAGTGTTCTCTTGCCTTCCACTGTAACTCTACCAGGAATGTATATTATTATTAGTTACATGTTAACATCTGAAAACATACATAATTTGACAAGATTAGAAAAATATGTATTTCGACGTGACCGTGATTTGAACCTGTGAGTGAGAGAAGAAAACATGATTAGTAATCCAAAACCGTACCACTATGCCACTAGGCTGTTCACACAAGGGGGATAAAAAAATTCTTAAGAACCTACTCGAGTTAAGTGGGAGTGTATCACCTTTCAAAATTACCAAAACGCAATTATTTTTTCCCTCGAAGGATTTTGTCGATGTTCTTTCGCAAAATTACGAAAGATGATGCAATCTGCAACAAAAAAACCACACACACACACACAAAAAAAGGAAATTTCTGAGTCGGGTTAACCTCATTTGCATAAAATGGCGGACTTTCGTTTTCTGAGTTGCCCCTGTGGACAAGATCGGATTTCTCCGTACCGGTCTACCTTTATTTCGTGTTTTCCGTGCGGCGGTAAGGCATTAAGAAAAAAATTAAACCAATAAACGAAATCATTTCGCACGTGTTTTAAGCGGAAGAAAAGAAAAAAGAACCTAGAAGACGCATTCCGTTGCAACCAATCGCAACCTCGGTGCATTGTTACCCCATCCATGTTTAATAAGAGTGAAAACAGTACATAACAAATAGTGAGCATAAGAATATGTCACATTTTGATTGTTGAAAACAATGGAGAAAGGACAAGAAAGCACGTAAAAAGGGAGATAGGACAAGAAAGCACTGAGGTTGCGATTGGTCGCCACAATGCGTTTTCTAAGCATCTTTTTTCTTTCTTTGTTTTTCGTAAGAGAGACAGAATTATCTTT